CAGCATTTTCAAGAAACTAACTTTATAATTTAGAAATGCATCTACAAAGACATAGTAACTAGTATGAAAATTGCTTGGTCCTTATACTCAGTTTATCTGTATATATTTTGCATTTTTGCTTTACCATAGTGAAGGGCTTGTGTAAGAATAATTCCAAAAAACTGAGGAATGGGATTGAAAATGTAGGGAAGTTTCATCTGACAATACTCTGCATTAAAAGTCCATGAAGACATAATTTATTTATCCTCTAAAGGTTCTGTTGAAAGCAAGCGGGAAAATGATCCGTTTTTGCATGGCGGTCATGAATTTTACCTTATTTTGCTGGTTTCACCCACTTAAAACTATTCTGAATGTTTCTCTCCAAAATCTTAGTGTTTGTAATTACACTTTGGATGGACATCATATATAAATAAATGTAGCTTGTTGAGAACTCAGTGATAGTTGCAGTAAGTGAAGATATTGTCCATGTTTGCTTCCTATGTTGCTGGTAAAATTTCAATTGAGGTTGAAGACTCCTTTATGGACATGGAATCAATTTTTGCAATCTTGTAAAAGAATTTAATTGGGAATCCAGAAACTACCTTGACAACCCACTTTGAAATCCTTGATCCCACTTCATTTTCAAGGAGGATGCTTCTCCAGAGAACCCTTTAGTACCATCATGAAATCTACCGATGATGGGTCCCCAAGCCACATTCCAATGTCTTTTAAGTGTTGTATGGACATGGAGACAGAAGTTACCTGGCACTTTCCAGAAGTCCGACTTGCCAAATTAAAATAAAAAAAAAATCATGGTTTTGCAGATATGGCCAAAGTTGGATTTTTATGTTACCCAATTTATTCTAGTTATTCATGTTAGATGTTCATTTAAGTCAAATATGCAAAAGAAAAGAAGACCATGTGTAGAAGTGTCTTCTCAAGACTCTGTGTCAGATTCCAATGTGTGTAATTAGTAGGAACTTATAAATTTGCTTCTCCAAAGCACCTATGGCACCATATCCTGATCTGAAAAAGGAGAAAATGAAGACTTTCCTGTTTGATAATCCTTTTCTCTATAAATACCTTATGTCTTCAAAGCAGGCATTTCAACTTGGTGAATGTCAAGTGGGATCATGAGGACCATCTTTTAGCTGGTTTCTACATAGATGCCCAAATGTGACATGAGACCTGTGATTTGGCATGACAGTCAGAACCCATGTTTTAGATGGTTTAGATGCTTGGGGTGGGTTGTGATGGTCCTATGGACTAGCCTAGATACCTAGCATACCTGGACAAGGGTGATATATTGTATTGGATGTTTTCATTTTAGTGTAAATTCAACGGTTTGTTTTCCACTGTACCCTTGTCATATCCAGGTAACATAGGTGGTGAGGATGTCTATGTATCTGATATAGAAATATAAAATCCATAATTGTTGGATTACTCCTTTTAGAGACAGGCTAGTAGCAACTGCATGTTATATGATATTATCATAAATGAGCAAAAACATGGAGCTATTCACCATATTATTATGTGCCAAACATGAATCTAAGTTGAAATACATTGCCACGTCATAAGAGTCTAAATCACTAGCTTTTCAGGTTGAGGCTTGTCCAATGTCAAAGAAGGCCTTCTATGGGCTGAATTTGTGAATGATATGTGAAAGATCATATATATGTCATAGGTCAGAATTGTTCTAAATCTTGAAATTTCTTGTTGGTCATTGGTCAAATCACATTTTCTTATTTTTGACGTTAGGTTTCAAGTTTCTAAGGTGGTCTGGAAATTGCTCTTGACAAAGTGTATTGAGCTAAGATATTCAAAGGCATATATATATGAACCAATTGCTTATGGTAAGGGAAGAAGGAGGTATACACATTATTCCAAAGTCGACTCATTTTTGAAGGTGAGGTCCATGTCTTTATGTATATATAATTGATAGATGACAGAAAGATTTTGTTAATGAGTAAAACAATTATGTACAAGATGCCAAGCATCCCAAAGTGTGGAGAGATTCCCCACAACTAGAAGAAAAAGAAGAAAAGGAAGAAAAGAAAAGAAAAGAAATTGACTAAGTTTTCATGTTATTAMATTTACATCTCCCAACTACCCAAAAGAGTCCATTCCTGTCTACCCCTTGTTTTGCCAATGAATCGGAAAGCTTATTTGCTGCTCTATGTACTCATCTCGCTTCTACTACTCTGTC